CCTTTTTATTTATTTTGGTTTTATATATCTCTCTCTCTCTTATTTTTTTTGGGTTTTTTTATTTTATTTTAATTTATTTGATTATTGTTTTATTTTTTTTTATGCGGTTTTTTTTTTATTTTTGCATATAAGTCACGTGCAGTTGAGTTGCCTATGGAATTGGTTGATTTGAATGGCTCCTTGAAGTATTATTTGGTGTCGTGCCAGGGAATCGACGACCGCACACAATATAGTAGCAACCGAGGACTTTTAATGGTGCTCCGGAGACGAGCAATGCACTTTGTGAAGGTAGTCATGCGTCCAAAGCAACAGCAACAGCGGTTCCTTCGCGGTTAGCCGATACCTATGCCGAAGCATCTGCTTGATTCTCGATTCCAAGAAAAGGAATAAATATCATCTTCTCGCTAGGGAAATCATCAAAATGGCAGTAAAACCGGACGCACCTTGCATTAAATACTGTCAAAATTTTATCATTCAAATTGTTTGCCAAGTTCAATTCTCTACTTCCCTCTTTCCGCAATTTCCTTTCGGCTTCAATTATATATATATATATGCCTCATTCTTTATTCTTCCTTGGAAATTTATAAAACTTTTCTTAAAATAAATTATTTGGAAATTAAAATTTTGATTTAGACTGTGGGTCAATTACGTAACTTTTTCCGGATTCCACATTTCGGATCCCAGATCCGACATTCCGGATTCCACTTTCCACATTCCGTATAAGGAATGTGGGATCCCATCCCAATTCCTATCTCACTTTCCACATTCCGTATACTGAATTCCGGATTCCAGATTCCGCACTTACCATATTTCGGATTCCACATTCCGTATTCCAAATTCCGCAATCCACATTCCGGATTCCACTTTCCACATTCTGCTCTCGGAATTCCACAATCCGTATTCCACATTCCTGAATCCGGATTCCACATTTCAAATTATTATTATTATTATTATTGAAACAAAATTAATCCTTAAGGCCAGGTCCAAGTCGAGTCAGCTGTTCCTTTGAAGTTTCAATGGAACAGCTGACACGACTTGGACCTGGCCTTAAAGTACGGAATGTAGAAAGTGGAATTTGAAATCCGAAATACAGAATGTGAAATATGGGATCCGGAATGTGGAATCCGGAAAAATTTACGTATAATTAGCTTCCTGTATTTGTGGATTTATCTCTCATTTTTAAACCTTGGGAATATTTATTCTTTCTGATGTATAATTTTATACTAATAATAATTACAGTATGTTCTTTTTGTATAACGGGGATATAATTATTTTAGATAAGGTTCACTCGAATTTGAAACTGATATCATTTTTACAAAAAAAAAATTAATAATCCTTATGTATTTTATGCAAACATACTTCGAAGTTAAATATTTGCAAACATGCAAAATATGAATAATGGATACTATACGAAAGAAAACTTAGTAAATACACATTATGTAAATTTTCATTAGGAAATTTGAAATGTAAATTATATAAATAAGATTGAATCGCACGAAAGTTTTTCAGTTATAAAAAAAAATGTGTACAATTTCCTATTATTGTTTCAATTTTTCTGAAATCTCAAATCCAAAAGTACAATTTTTACCATTCGATTTTTTTTGGGGGGGTGTTGCGACTGAAAATATGAAAACATTTTTTTTTTGTTCTAAAAACAAATTTTTGACTAATTCAAAAAAAAAAATTTTTTTTTTTAAATTAGTTTCTATTAAATTGAACGTTAAGTGTTGGTCTCTGTTGAAACTGGTGGGCTTATCGCACCACTTCTGTTTGACGGGAACCCGCAAGCCGTTCAATTTAGGTCGACAAGCCATCCGAACCGAGAAACGAGGCTTAATTCGCAACTCGGAGAGACGGAAGTTGGGGTGGGTCGGGGATAGGATTCCGGTGCTGTGAAGAGGGGAGGGGGGGGTGGAGAAAGGGGGATGTTTCCCAATGTAACAGACGACAAACAGAACGTTGACGTCGGATGAAGAGCTGATCGGAACTGTCAGGATTATTGTCTTGTATTTTAATGGAACTTCGGCCCGCACAAGACATGTTTCGTTGAATTAAATGTGGCGAATCGATAGTTACTGAGAATATCGAAACTCGATTCAAAATATATATATATACCTACGATTCACGTAGCTAAATGAAAGATTAATTATTCGCTCCTTGTAAAAGAAAATTATTTAAAGTATTTTTTTTTTTAAATGAAAATTATAATATTGACAGAAAATGTTGAAAAGTGAATGTTAATATTTTTACAAGAAGCAATTTTCCCAAGGTAAATATACGCGTGTAAGATAATATCTATATATATATATATATATATATATATATATATATATATCTATATATATATATATATATATATATATATATATATATACTATCCCAGGAGATAATAGAATAAATTCAGAAAATGTAAATGGCTCTCTCGAGTTCTTATCCTTCGATTCTTGATTGACTAAAAATGGATCGATATGCGATGAAGATTTTGCTTAATGAAGTTTGCGAATAATTGAAAGCCGTTACAGTAGTAACAGCATTAAGACTACCTCGCTTAATTAGCATGACTTTTGCTCCCTTCGTCTTCTTCACAAACTTCCTCTGCGCGCGGAGACAAGTTTTGCCTTTTCCTTCAAAACGAATATAATCGACGGTTTTAACTTCGGTTGAAATAATGAGAACGAAAATAAGTTTATATATGTATATCTATCTATATATATAAAAAATTGCAAGAAACAAAATTTATAAATCATTTTTGTCAATTCTTTTTTTAATTTCACATTATTTTTTTTATATTTTTTTTTTAAAAAGTTAGTAAAATATCTTTTAAGGCGATTCAAACCCTTGACATAACCTCAAAATAAAAATTGGTTTCTTCGTTTAATAAAACTGTAATTAAAATAAATTTTTGACAATCTTAAAATATAGATAAAGAAAGTAACAAAATTTATATCACTTTAGAGTATTTCTACAATGGAAAGTGAGCACCATATCTTAAAAATTCAAGACATTTTAGGGTATTTCCACAATGGAAAGAGGGCAACATAACCTCCATATTTAGGTTATTTTAGGTTTCATTCATAATAGGAAGAGAAGAACATTATTCATTAGATTGAAAATTATATCTAATGGAATTAGAAGTGAAAAAAGTATTAAAAATTAAAATCAGTGGAAGTGAATTTTCATAAAAATTTTCACTTTCACTTCCACGAATTCTAATTTTTATTCTTATTTTCACTTACACTTACTCTATTTACAATTTGCATTTATTTTAGCATTTTTATTTTCACTTTCCTAATTTAAAATCATTGCAAGTGAATATATAAGTAAAAATTAGAATCAGTGAAAGTGAAAGTTAAAATTATTGTAAAATAGGAAGAGGAGAACATAACCTTAAAATTAAGGCAACAAGTTAGCATAACTTCAAAATTTATGCCAATTTAAAGGTACTTCTACACTGAAAAATGGGCACCATAACCTAAAAATTGAGGACGTTTCAGGGTATTTCCACAATGAAAAGAGGGCAACATAACCTCCATATTTAGGTTATTTTAGGGTTTATTCACAATAGGAAGAGAAGAACATAATTCATTAGATTGAAAATTATATCATAATGGAATTAGAAGTGAAAATAGTATTAAAAATTAAAATCAGTGGAAGTGAATTTTCATAAAAATTTTCACTTTCACTTCCACGAATTCTAATTTTTGTTCTTATTTTCACGTACACTTACTCTATTTATAATTTGCATTTATTTTAGCATTTTTATTTTCACTTTCCCTAATTTATAATCATTGCGCAAATGAATATATAAGTAAAAATTAGAATTAGTGAAAGTGAAAGTTAGAATTAATGCAAAATAGGAAGAGGAGAACATAACCTCAAAAATAAGGCAATGCCAATTTAAAGGTACTTCTACACTGAAAAATGGGCACCATAACCTAAAAATTGAGGACGTTTTAGGGTATTTCCACAATGAAAAGAGGGCAACATAACCTACATATTTTGGTAATTTTAGCGGTATATCCACAATAGGAAGAGAAGAATTTATTAGATTGAAAATTAATTATAATTTTGAAGTGGATGTGAAACTATTATTAAAAATTAGAAGTGATTTTTTATATTAGAAATAATTGAAGTAAATTTTTACTCTAATTTACACTTTTATTTTGAATTAATTCTAATTTTCGTTTTCATTTTCACTTTCAATGATTAAAAATTAAGGGAAAAATTATAATTAGTCAAAGTGAAAGTGAAAATATATTATAATTTAAAATTAGAATCAGGTGTAAATGAAAGTGATAGTAGTTAGAATTAGTGCAAAATAGGAACAGAAGAACATAACCTTAAAATTAGGTCAAGAAAGTAACGTAACTTTAAAATTTATGTCATTTTAGGGTACTTCCATAATGGAAAGAGGAGAACGTAACCTCAAAATTGGGTCAAGAGGCGAACATATCTGAAAATTATTTAAATTTCACAGATTAAGAGGCAAACATAACCTCAAACTTAGGTCAAATAAATAATAATAATAATAATAATAATAATAATAATAATAATAATAATAAAGGTAAATTGAATAAAAAAACAATTTTGTAGAGATATACACAGCATGTACATATTAATGATTGAATAAGAGCAATTCGCAAAATACTGTTAATTTCCTTAAAAGCAGGGCACTTTCACTTCTGGTTAATTAACACTTGTCCATTGTTAATTTAACATTAAGCGTGTCAGTATTGTAATTTTAAATAAACGGTTGTCAATCAAAATATATGCGTTAAAAAAAAAAAATAAAAAGAGAAACATATGGAGAATGAAGAAAGTCGATATCGCACGCGCGGGTCAGGTGTATAGAGAGGAAAAAGAGAGGAAGGAAGTGCGGAGATAACTGCGAGGCTCTCCGCAGAGAATAACCGCGGACATGGAGCGCTTGATTTAACGGAAATTCCATCGTTGAGAACGAGGCACTTTGATAACACAAAAGCAAGGCTTTAAAACGCTACCGAGGGAATCTTCTTTCACCTTCAGCAAGCGACTGTGTGCGGATCGTACAAACCGTCGTCTTGTAATTACGCAGCATCGCGTAATGAAATCCGTTCTGACCTCGGCCAACGGGAACTCATTAACAGTAGGTTATGCGATGATGGTGCGTTTACATAGCGATCTTTGAACTTATGATCCGAGTAATCTAATAAGATTGTTTAGAAGCTTTTAATTCGTTCATATTATGCGCTATTTGTTGGATAATTTTGTATAAAAAAAAAAATAAAATAAATAAATTATATTTATTAACACATACAAAAGAGAAGGAAAAATTTTCAAACTATTTTTATTATCAAGTGCGTTATTATAATTTAGGGACAAATTATCATAAAACGAAATTTTTTCCAGTGGAAAATACTAAACTTTATTACCCAGTCATATTACAGTTTTGTATGTTTATAATGCCTCTTTATACCGTTTAATATTATGCAGTAAAATTTCATACTTTCTTTTTTTTTGACTTTAATATTTTTATCCATAAACATTTTCATTTAATGACCTCTTTTTATGCAAAAATGTGTGACACACATTGATACAGATTGTTGACATTTTTATTATTCCTTTACATTGGTGGAATTTAGTTTTTTTTTCAAAAAATTTTTGTTTGAATTATATTTAAAAATTTATTTTATCAAATTTATCATTCTGTAAATTTTTTCGATAATTAATATAAATTATAGAGCAAAACATGTTAAACACTGCTATATGGTTTTTATTCCTATGGGAGTAAAAGTTTTGAGGTTAAGAATCGACTCCAAAAAGTTGTAGATTTAATATTCTTTTTCTATTTTTCACTTTCACTTCCACTAATTCACTCTTATTTTCAATTTCACTTCCACTTAATAAAAGTTAGTGAAAATGAAAATGAGAGTGAAAATTAGAATCAATGGAAATGAAAATTTTACTTTTATTTCACTTTCACTTATAAATTTTGAGGTTATGTTCGTTTCTTGATTAGGGGAATTTGAAGTTTTATGTTTGTCCGACATAGCCTCAAAATCCAACGGTCCCTTGACCTATGTCCTTGAATTTTGAGGTTAAGTTTAAATTAAGGCCTTGAATCCTGGAAACCTATGCCCTAGAATTTTGAGGTTATGTTTGATCTCTGACCTTCAATACTGAAACCCTATGTCCTTGAATTTTAAGGTTATGTTTGATCCATTACCTTGAATCCTGGAGACCTAGGACCTTGAATTTTGAGGTTATGTACATTATAATACTAATATAGGTAATTATATGGGTCGTTCCACGTCAATTAGCCTGTGGCTTTGAGGTTAAAATGAGAACTACAATACTAATAGGTGTATGTATAGGTCATTCCATATCAAGAGTAACTTAACTAACCTAACCTAACCTAACCTAACCTAACCTAACCTAACCTAACCTAACCTAACCTAACCTAACCTAACCTAACCTAACCTAACCTAACCTAACCTAACCTAACCTTACCTAACCTAACCTTACTCTAACCTAACCTAACTCTAACCTAACTCTAACCTAACCTTACTCTAACCTAACCTAACCTAACCTAACCTAACCTAACCTAACCTAACCTAACCTAACCTAACCTAACCTAACCTAACCTAACCTAACCTAACCTAACCTAACCTAACCTAACCTAACCTAACCTAACCTTACTCTAACCTAACCTAACTCTAACCTAACCTTACTCTAACCTAACTCTAACCTAACCTTACTCTAACCTAACCTAACTCTAACCTAACCTTACTCTAACCTAACCTAACCTAACCTAACCTAACCTAACCTAACCTAACCTAACCTTACTCTAACCTTACTCTAACCTTACTCTAACCTAACCTTACTCTAACAGAACATAACCTAACCTTGTAAAAAACTTGGGTTGGGTACATTTGACATGGAATGACCCATACTGAAGACAGAGGCGAAATTTTTTTATAATATAGAGAGATTATTACCTATATTATAGGTAAAAATTAGAATCAGTGGAAGTGAAAGTGAAAATTACAATTAACGGAAGTGGAAGGGAAAATTAGAGTTAGTATAGAAGTAAAAGTTAAAATTATATTGAAAATTAAAAGTAATGGAATTAGAATTGAAAAATATGATTTAAAAATAAAAAAAAAAATTAGTGTAAGTGAAACTAAAAATTAGAATCAGTGGAAGTGAAAATTAAAAAAAAAATTAGTACCTATATTACTGGAAATGAATGTGAAAATATAATTAAAAATTAGAATTAGTGGATGTGAATTTTTACTGTAATTGTCACTTTCACTTCCACTAATTCTAATTTTTATTCTTACTTTTACTTCCACTGAATCTAATTACTTCCACTGATTAAAAAATAGGGAATGTGGATGTAAAATAAAAATGTCTAAAAATTATAGTAAAGTACAAGTGAAAGTAAAAATGAGAGTGAAAATTAGAATTACTGAAAGTAAAAGGGAAAATTACAATACAAGTGCGACATAAAAATATAATCAAAAATCAGAATGAGCGAAAATGAAAATGAAAGTCAGAATAAGTGGAAGTGAAAAGTACTATATATGATTGAAAATTCGAACCAGTGGAAGTGAAAGCGTAAGTGAAAAATCGACTGTCAATTTTTAAATTTAGTGTGTGTTACTTTTACAATGAAATTTTTACTAATCAACTGATCTTTTATAATATATTTATAATCTACTATTTTATTATCATTATTATTATATTATTTTTTCAAAAAAATTTCTAAAAAATAAAAACTAATTTTTCTTTAAAAAAAAAAAAAAATTGACTTATTTTAAAAAGTTTTAACGGAAATTCTCTTTCAAATGATATTTCTTTAATCTCCTTCCGGCTAAATAAATAGAAATTTCTGCTCCCGATAAAATGGAACTTTTTTCGAAGTGTAAAAGTAGGACGGCATCTTTAATAAGAGGGTGAATAAAAAGCGGGGTGAAAAAAAATTATTAAAAAAAAGAAAAAAAAAAAAAAAAAAATGCTGAAGAAAAAAAAGAATGGAAGGGAGCAAAAGAGAGATATAGCGCGATTTGATTTTTTTCGAAAAAGCTCTTCGATCCTCTCTCTATATAGTATATAGCGGATTTTTCCTGTCAACCGGAAGTAGCTGGCTATCGGATGAAGGGCGGGTGCTTTTAAATATAGGCTGTAACGCCTATGGCGCGTTATCAAAGGATTGGAAGCTAGTCGAAGCGCCTCTGCATGAAATTTTGCGTGCATTATAAATGCACAGAGAACCGAGAGAGAAAGAGAGAAGGAGAGAAAGAGAGAGAGATAAATCAGTGTATGGAAGATGAGAAAAAGTGTATACGAGAGAAAGGGAGCGAGAGAACAAAATCAAGAGAGAGTGAGAGAGCGCCTTGCAAGCCCAACGGTGGGTTAGGTTAGGTCTGAAGCGTTGGTTGGTCGGACGCTGGTCTAACCTACCGTAACTCTATAAAAATAACGGCTCAAGTCATCTTTGTTGCACTTTCTCATCCCGATTATCACCATCCTTTCTTCCCGGTGGCTGATCTTCTTTTCCTCGTTGCACTCGACTTTATGCGCCTGGGTGCATCTCTTTTTAACGCAGAGAACATCGAGCGACGGCAGCGTAAATCGTAAAAAGTGAAGCCAAGAGAGAGAGAGAGAGAGACGGAATGTATGCGTGTGCGTGCAGAGCATGTGATACATGAAGAGACCCGGTTACACAGCACAAAAATCTCTTATAACTGCAAGTTCCCTTCTTTTGCGACTATACGCGCGTCGATATCCGATCGTTTTTCAACTTATAATACTTTGGTTACTTTGCCTTCTTCGTCGTCGTCAAGTGATAATAATTTTTATGGCGAGGGACTTCAATATGCGATAAACAAGATTTATTTTTCAAATGAATATTAGGTATTAAGAATTTCACAGTTTCCCTAGTAGAAATTTGTCCTAGCTATTTTAAAGGAACTGCCTAGTCGCGCTGGAGTCTGTCTAGTTACTTGACTGACCAGCTAGCTAAAAACTCGAATGTCATGTCACGCTTTTTTCATCAAGTTATTATCCAGCCCAACTTGATAATTATTTATCAATAGGACTTTTGAAAAACTAGTCAAATTAATTCTTTTAAATATTTCGAAATTCATTTAATAATAAGATTTAATGTAGTAAACACGTTTATTTTATGTAATTAAAAAAAATATTCCAATTATCAACAAAAATTATTATAAGAAAATATATTGCACTAAATATAGTAATTCGTTATAAAAATGTAATTTTTCATTCACAATTAAACTGGATTTAAAAAAAAAATTTACATAAGTAAAACGATTGAAGCAACATCTTGACCTGAACTGTTAACAACACTGAAACAATTATAATTTTTATATTAATATGAATGTCATAACATAAACCTTAAAACACTTCTCGCAGTTTCAACGAAAAAATCTTGGGGCTACCGGGGAGCGAACACGGGTCCGCTGGGCGGGAACGAAAGAAACGCACGCTTTACGCAACTCGGCCGTTCTGATCAGTGATATTAGAATAAATGCTTGACGTATTTCACTGTACCTAATAATATTATGAATTTGTGCATATTATTTTTATTATTTTCTAGGCAAATAAACATTTTAGATGTTTATTTGATTTTAAATGATTTACTTATAATTTAATTTAAACATTAGACAATTATAAAAAACTAATTACTAATTTTTTTTATTTATTATCCTCAAAAATTATATGTAAAATTTTATAAATAAAATTATTTTAATAAATTAATAATTATTGATATAATATAATATTATTATTATTATTATTATTATTATTATTATTATTATATTATTATAATATACTCAAACAGAAAAATAATATTCTACTATATTTGTAAAATTTGTCTGAAAATAATAATAATTGTTTAATCATTTTTTTTTAAAAACTAAAAACACTTTTTATTCAAGGTAATATTATTTTCATAATAATTTAATTTATTGCAATTATTTTATTATAATTTAATAAATTTTATTATTTTAAAAAAGCGCGCGCTATTTTGTCTTGGGCCAATCAAGTGATTTCAACTAAATATAGGTTATGTTCGTTTCTGATTCATGACAG